CTCCGTGCCGGAAGGCCCCGGCAGGGAGGCCATCTCCTGTCAGTTCGTGGGGCTCCAGGCGTCTGGCGGCCTCCACTGAGATTGGATGGAACCCGCACCGGGGGCGGGGCGTCCTGCAGCGCGCCTGCGCAGTGTGCTCCGCGCCGCATTCCCTCGAGAGCGGGCCACAGGGGAGACGGCCGGGCAGGCGCCAGTGCGCATGCTTGAGCCGCGGGGCCCAGGCGCAGAGCAGGCGGTCTTCCAGGCTTGGAGCTGGCCCGTTGGGGAGCCGGCGACCTGCGCACGCGCAGAGGTCTCTCGAGGGCCAGCCCCACATGACGTCGCCCGCGTGGGCAAGCGTGCCTGCGCCTGGCGGTAGGAAACCGGGTTTGATTCCCATCTCTGCCCACTTAGGAGAGGTTGCCGGTTTGCTCAAAGACTCCGCAGGGGCACTCTGGAGCGAGGCTGTGTGTCGGCCCCATCAGACTTGGCCACTCTTCTCGGCCGATGCAGAGGAAAACGCAAGGGTGGAGCGAGACCCTTGTTCCTCCCAGCGTGATCTCACTTTGGCCCTGCTTAACGCGATGCGTCCTCACTGGAGGCAGGGCTGAGGGGTGGACGGTGTCAGATCTGTGGAGCGGGCAGGGCTGCGTGCCTGCCGCGTTCCCTGTGGGTCCAGGAAGGCCATGGTGGACCTTAGGTGACTTTAGGTGAGGGTTCAGCCAGGCTGCCGGGCTCCCTGCCTGCGCGGACGGGACAAAATTCACGTTTCTGGGGAGGCCGGTGAACCTGGGTGCAGGCCGCGCAGGTGTCATTACTAGCCTCAGTCGTCGTCACATCTGCAGAAATCCTGTTCCGAGATGTCCCGCCCCTCGCTTTCCTCACTTGTTGGTGGGATCCAATCACGACAGTAGCAAGTGTGAGGAGCAGCTTTGAGCACGTGCAAAGCCCTGCTCTAAGAACTGACTTCAACTTTCCTCATCTGTAGACTGGGACTAGTAATAGCAAACAAGAACTAACGAGTTACGAGGGCTTCCTGTGCCAGAACAGTTACTTTTCTCATGGTACCAGATTATTTCATTTAATCTGTCAAAACCCAACCTGGCTGAGCTTCCCCTCACTCACTCTGCTCAAGTCAACAGCCTCCTTCCTCAAGACAAATAGGCTCAGACCTACCTTAAGCGTTTACAAAGGCTGTCACCTCTACCAATTGCACCCTTCCAAAGGGCCAAATCTTGAACTGTCGCATCAAGGTGAATACGCTTTCTACAAATCCGTAGCTCACATGATATGGATAAGGTTATGAAAAGTCACAGAGCGTTAGGATTAAGGATCAAAGTCAGCCTGGGCCACTGTCAGGGAAAGGGTCAAGAGTCAATGTGAGAGGCCAGATTCAGGGTAACTTTTCATTGTTAGGATCAGTATCAAGGTCAGAGACAGGGATAGGAATTAGTGGCTGAAGCCATGGTGGTTCCCACCCAAGACCATGGTTCAAGTCAGGGACCACCGACACGAACTATGGCAGAGTGGACCATAATCTCCTTGCTTCTGGGGCCACTTGTTTGGGAATGAACTGACTTAGGCAAGATCTGGACAGACCAAAGGTTCAAATGACCCTTAAAAATAGAGCTTATCCTGTTGTACAGACTTCCTGGGGTTAGGGGTTAGGGTCAGGGATAGAGATTAGGGTCAGGATTAGGATCTAGGGTTGGGCTGTGGCTCAGCATCCAGGGTCAGGGTCAGTGGTGGGGGTCAGGGGTCAGAGCTAGACTAGGGCTAGGGTTTAGGTCTGGCATCAGGGTCAGGGTTTAGAGTCATGGGTCAGGATTAGAGAGTCAGGGTTAGAGGGTCAAGGTTTAGAGCTGAGGGGTCATAGTCCAAGGTCTAAGGGTCTGGGGTTAGAGTTGGTAGAGTTTAGGCTTAGATGTCAAAGGATCAGGGTTATAGGTTACAGTGTTAGAGGATTAGGGTTAGAGTTAGGTTTAAGCATAACTGATTCTCTTCCCCCTCTTCACTCTCTATCTTTCTGAGCCTCCAGGATGGATAGGACTTGCCTAGAGTCACACATGAGACAGGGAGTTAAGCTGGACCACTGATATCTGCACCAGAGTACAGGGCTCTGATAGAAGAATGAAATGTCTGTTCTGGTCACTGATTGTTTCAAATGGAGTTCTACCTCAGTCAGGTGTTCTGGAGAGCCTCAGAGATTGCACAGGATGTCTCTCTGCCTTCCCACCTGGGAAGGGAGGTGCCGGCCCCACTCTGTCTGGGCAGCCCTAGGTTCCAACTCAGCCCTGACATACTGGGCACTCAATAGATATGTTTGGATTTATACAGTTGAGTGCAGTGACCTGCCAGCCTCCAGGTGCTGCATACTTGAAGAATGGCTGGGCTGTCCTGGGCCTGGATGGATCCTTTGTCCCACTCGTCCAAGTGGGGAGCAGTAGACAGTCAGGTCTTAGCCAGGACAGCCCTTGGCCTCCAACCATCCAGGCAGGCATCTGCGGTTCTCTAGCTCAGGCCAGCCTGGGCCCTGTCAAGCCCTTATTGCCAATTACTGAGCTGACCATGCTGCTGTGCCGTTGAACAGCTCCTGGGCAGTGTAGACAGCCTCTTGGGATGTCTCTTTTCTCACAGCCTTTTAGCTTACCAAGAGATATAATAACCCTCTACACATTGTATGTGGCCCTGGCTACAACAACCAAACAGCAGACAGCGTCCCTACAATTCTTTGGTCTTCCAGTTGTAACAAACTTTTGACATTCATACTTGTTAAGAGTAAAAGATATGGGGGCAACTGGGCCTCGCAGTGGGCAGTTTCTCATTGAGGCCACACAGTCTCAGTGAGCTGTATGCACTCAGGGCTCAGCCCCTGTTGTCTCCAGAAAGTTTGTCAACTGTGGATTGTATGGTATGGAATGACCCTTGAGGCTCCCACTGCTTCACTGAGTTTCTTTGCCACCCAGCATTTGGTCTCTGCTCTTTGTAAAAGAGAGAGAAGAGACTGGAAAATGAGCAAATTTGTTCTTCCGCGATGGATGATTAATTTGGCCAGGGAGTGAGTGTGACTCCTGGGCTACCTCCTCCAGAGACATAAATGAAGTCTGTGTGCCTTTTGAGGCACATGGACAATCAGGGCCGGGCTCTGAGATGTGAGGACCCAATGCTCAAGACAAGAGCCTTGAGTTTACCACCAACAGCAGTTTTTGTTTAGCAAGTGGAAGAGCTTCTTGCCATCAAGGAAGGACAGCACAAGACCTGGATGAGTGGCTGCAGCCCCTGACCCTAAACAAATCCCTTCCTTCTTTGGGCTTTATATTGCACAGCTGTGCAGTGGGCTGTCAGTGATATAGAAGCAGTTACTTTCCATTTCCCAGTATCTTTTCTCATGCCCACATCCAGCACTTCAGCTTTCCTTGCGGGAACTGCTTGTCACCTGCTTCCAATCCAAACATTTCCAGAGGGCACACCCCACGTTCCACCCATATTGAAGATGGACTTGTGATCTATATCTAGCCAATTCTATGTTCCATCCACTTGGTGCTCTGATGGTTTCAAGGATGAGAATGTGACCCACGCCAAAGGCATTTAAAGCCATGACTTTTCATGGACCCCAGGGAAGGAGAAACACTCTGGTAAAATAGACATTGAGTGGGTGTCAGCCTAGAGTTGCTGGAGGGCCTGGATGCAGTAAGAGAGACTGTATCTATGAGTGGGACCACCCAAAGGCACTTAGTAGAACAAAGGATTGGAAAGAGACCAGGTCACATTGCAACAGAGTGAGCCCTTGGGCCTGCCAGGACCAAACCCACTCAAACCTGTGTCTTGCAATTATAAATTTATTTCTATCATTTAAAAAATTGATTTATTTTCCTTGAGTAAATGTGTCCAATCCCTTGGAATCAAAAAAGCTCTAGCTGACACATCAGAATCAATAATCCCTGAGGCTTCCTCAGGTGTACAGGTGGAGCATGGCTGAGGGAGATGGAGACACAGAGTGGGGTCAGATCTTAGGGGAACTGCTGAATAACTCTGTTTCTGTCCCTTCCATGTCCCAGGAGGGGGAGATCCCAGAACAACGAGAGGAGAACCAGCACAGGGAAGAGGTCCTTCAGTAGCTAGTTGTTCTGTTTGTATATCCCTTAGTTATGTTCCATTTTGTTAATGTGTGTTTTTACTAGGAAGTCACCAATTTCCTCTAGATTTCCAGTTTGAGGCAATAGGTTTCTCCTATTTCACTTTTATTTTCTTCTCTCATTCTAGTTTTCTACAGAAATCTCACAAGTAATGAACAAATATTGATACCTTATTATTAACTGACGTCCGTATTTCATTTGGGTTTCCTTTGTTCTAACTCTTTCTTTCCTCAGCATGCATCCAGGGTACCATGTGACATTTGATCATCATGTCTGTTTAGGCTCTTCTGGACTTCGACAGTTTCTCAGACTCTCCTTGTTTCTATGACCTTAACATTGTTGAGGAGAACTAGTTAGGTATTTTGTAGGATGTCCCTCATTGGAATTTACTTGGCGTTTTTCTCTAATTAGGTTGGAGTTACGGGTTTTGAGTAAGCAGGTCACAGAGATACAGTGCTTTCTCATCACTGTATATCAAGGGAACAGGCTCTCAAGGCAGCTTATCATTGTTGATATTAACTTTGGTCATCTGACTGAGGAGGTGTTTGCCAGATTTCCCCACAATGAAGCTGCTCTTCCCCATGTTCCGACTGCGTGTCTTCTTTGGTAGGAAGTCACTTTGGGAACTAGCACTTACGGAGGGAGGAGTTAGCTTTTCTTCCCTGATGGGTGGCTGAGTGTCTACATTAACTATATGGAATTCTTCTGCATAAGATATTTCTGTTTAAACCCATCATAAAAAACCTGCATAATTACTTACTTTTACCACCATGGACACCTGTGGATAAGTTTTGTTT